CCCCAAAACCCCAAAACCCCTTGCAAACAATATTTCTGGAATTAAATAAGGATTTTATTTAATAATAAATTAAAACATTATCCTGAATAATTAATAATTCCTAATTGAAATGGATTAAATTCCCTAGACCAATTAAAATACTTCAATATCTCAGACCCCTCTATTAATGAGACCTATTTTCAATGAATATGCATTATAGACCCCAACAGTGGAAGTTAGAATTAATAATAAGCCTCTTAACATCAATAAATTGCAAATAAAAACTGATGTTCACAAGCAAACAAGGAATATAAAGTACAATTCAGGAGCTATTTAAGATTATGACATTCATAAAAGTCCGATCAGCATAATTTGAACAACTACCAGAGAATTATAACCACTGAGATCACAAGATGGCATGTCAAATATCAGAGATTCTCAATTATCAAACAAGAAAAACTCTCTTTTAAATAGCTAGAGAAGACAAATTATCAAAGAAATTATATCGACTGAAAAAGCATCATAGCAATTAAATGAAATATTTCTCTGATCTTAACTTGATAAAAAGTTTAATAACTTAGCAGATTCAGAATAAAGCATCATAGATGACAATAACTCAACGTTTTACCCCTATAGGCCAAGTCAGAGACTATTGAATTATCCGATCATGGACAAGAGTAGTACAAACTTTGTTAGTCCATTTAGAAATTAAAAATACTCCTAGTAGAGTTATACCATTTTAAAGCCTCAATAAAGCATTGGGAAAGTTAAGTATAGCCAAAACAACCATTCTTAGTTATTATAAAAGCAATCCTCTGGATCTAGACTTACTAAGATTAATATAGAGAATACAGATATTGACAATAGCCATTAGAGTTCATAACTTATTAAGATCAAATTCGAAGCTCCTCAATAATCTATTCATGCTATATAACTAGCAATAAAGAGTAGGAATGTTGATGAATTTAGAAAGCTACTTGATGATTAGACTTAGATTTCAAATATTACTGATAATATATCCTTAAACAAATTTAAAAGAAAAGTGAGTCAGCAGTAGCCGATTATCCGCTTGAGAAACAACTCTTTTGATTTGGAAAATAGATTCATCAAGAAGAATTTAGTTTAATAGGAATAGATTAACTTGCAAAGCTAGCGATAACTACCCATAGCCATGCAGAATTAGAGTACAAGCATGAATAGTTCAAATTTTCACATTAATGATATAAAGGGAAGATTGCTATCTGATCAGCTTAAGAAGAGTCCTATAATAGATAAACTGCTAATGAATATGAGATAAAATACAAATAGAAATAGCTAAATCAACTCTAAACAGAGATTTTAAAATGTAATCTGGGAGAGTTCACTAAACAATAGTCCCTCTCCACTTACAATGAGATATTGATCCGAAAAAATAACTACAATTAAAAATAAAGTCAAATATAATTAATTATCTATTTTCATTGGAAATATTGTCATATTGGAATTTCACTGATTGGGGTTTTGGGGTTTTGGGG